AGATGTTGGGAAGTGCCGGACCAGCTTTTACAACAGCACTGTTGACATTATCAAAATACAGCTCAGTGAATCCCGAAGCGAAGAACTGGCTACAGTACTCGGCTTTCTTGTCATTCTCAAACGACTTCCCGCCATTATCATCCTTAAGAACTGCGAATGGATCCTTTTTTTTTAATTTACTGTTAATATAGCGGAATAGAATCTTGGGCTTGTCTTCGGCCTGTTAGAGGATTCTTGATTCATAGCTTTTCCTCGCCTGGCGATTTGATTTTTTTACCGTAGTTATTTGGCTTCGGAATTCACTGAGGTGTACTGGTGACCCAGTTTCCCTGAATAACTTCCATTTCCTATTTTTCTTTTTTTGAGTTTTCTGTTAAGGTCTCTCGTCAACCAGGAAGGATCTTGTGTACCTTCACCGGACAACAGCGCTTAATCAGAGTTAATACAATCGTCTTGAGGGATCTCCAATCTTCCTCCGGATCCCTCTTGAGCTGGCAGCCCCAATTCACGGAAGCTAGTGCATTCTTCATCGAATTAATATCTGCCTTCCATATATTCGGCTGGTCCTCCGTTTTTCTCAGACGTTGAGGACTGAGTGAGTAATCCCACATTGGCGTCGTATGATTACTCTTACCGAGCGGGGCACCTGAATGCACTTAATCAATGTAGGATAAATCCTTCGTAAAAATTAGATCCAAGCGACTAGATCTTTGGTTCTCTCGAAATCTGGTTAGTGCCTTAACGTTCTGTGTCAGAGGGAGGTCAAATGTGAGATCCATTAACTTAGAACCGAAGGATGTTGACGCACCCTCCACTGTCAGATTTTCCCAGTCTATTGCAGGTGCGTTGAAATTACCAACCATAAAAACTTCCTGGTGGCTATCTGCTTCCTTCACCAGACTAAGAAGCGAGTCGTCGGATGCACTCAGAATGTTTGGTGGCCTGTATACGGCCAGGAATTCTAGGTTCTGTGAATTAGCCTTCTTTATCTTTAAACAGATGGATTTACACTCTAGAGTTAGGGTGCGTTCACTTTCGACAACGGCAACCCCACCACCTTGTCGGTTTTGGCGGTCTTTGCGGAAAAGCTGATATACTTGAATCGAAATCTCCGAATCCACGATTTCTGTTCTAAGCTATGTTTCCGTTATGGCAACAAGATTAGGTTTCTGCTATGAAAGTAATGCCTACAGTTTATCAATTTTTGAGGGAAGAGTTTGGGCATCAGTATGCAGAAAGCTCAATTTAGACTTAGTCACCACGTTATGCAGGCGTTTGCATCTAGCGTGAGATGGCATGCAGGGAGCTGTCGGTACTGATGGAGACGGACTGTTGTCCATCCCGACTAGGCTGTTATTGTTATCGGCCTTCTCCAGAGAAGTGACCTCTGGGCAGGCATGATCTCCCCGCTCAGAATTCGGAGATTGTTCTCGCCGAGTTCGCATCTCCTGTGGAGTTCTACTTTGAGTAACCTCAATTTCTCCCGCTCTGTGGGGGAAAAATCCGGCTGAAAAAAACCGTTGGGTGGGAGTATCTGAGTATTGGTTTTCTGCTTAACAATAGCTGGGCCTCGACCTCACTCTTCGGGACAACCTTCAACGGTCTTGGTTGGCGTTGTTCATCTTTTGATTCGGTTATACGACCCATTCGGAATGCCTTTAGAATTTCGACTTTCTCCTCACCCTTCAGGAGGGACTTCAGATATTCTTTAAATAATTTCCTGTCCTCTTCTATTCTTGACTCCGGGGTGTCGGAAGTAGCTTCCGTCATGCCTTTTGAGACTATGCAGTTTCTACGATCCACTCGAGGACTTAATTGTGTTAATTATGATTCAGTATAATTCAGAACATATAAGGGAGACAGGCAAAGTCTTTGAAAACCCTATTTACAGATAAATGCTGTCAGATCATGCATGTCGTTCAAAGTCATATATACATTATATAAATCGTTGTTGTCTACCAAATGAATGACCAGCAAGCAAAGTAAAATCAAACCTTCTTTTGAATGTGTCGACGCTTTCAGCAAGAACAACCGAGGAAGGAAGTTTTATCCATTCTTCAATGATCCGCTAGTAGAAGAAGTTGGCCCGCACTTCTAATTTGGCATGTTGCCTTATCCTGACAGATAGTTGTACTCTCCTTCCGGCTGTCATCCTCTTCTGCTCCACTACGGTTTGTTAGGACAGATTTCCTGAGCCAGAGTGCGCTTTTTCGGTTTCTGAGAAGCCTGAAGGTTGACCGTTTTCTTTGTCCATGACAGACTACCGGCTCCGTCGAGTGCCCTGGCTGCCTGGTAATTTTTCTGTGTAGACGCTTCGGCGAGGGATGCTGATTCTCCGTACGTAAGATTACCCCCCTCAAGTTCAGGCATCACCAATTTCTCCTCTTGAGGGAGAAATCGAGGAAATTTTTTCAACTCCTCCATCTCCAGTCTTAGACTATTTACCACCTACTCAAGGTTCGTAAATTTTTAAAGAAGTGTAAAATATGATATGGAAGCCTCGTCTTTAATAATAATAATAATAATAATAATAA